GTATCCAAAATTCTCCAAGATAACCTTATGCCAGGAGTATAGTTAAAATGTTTCTTGTATGGCTTTGTATGAGAAAAACATCGTTAATTTAATACTGTATTACAAACAAGTTAAAACTAAGAAGGCATAGTGGACTGAGAAAAATATAGACTAGTACTGGTACAGTCATAATCTACACTAGGCTGAGGGCTACTCTCACAAGTCCTTGATTTGTCTCCCCTTAGGTGGCATTGTGATGTCAAAGGCATTTGCCCATCACAATTCCTTGGAAGTTTACCTAATGGTTTATTCCATAACAGCTCACAGCTTTGTAACATCTTACTATGGACTTGATATTTAAGTTTTAGATGGGCTCAGGGTTGGACAAGTAACTTTTTTTCAAATTTGTGACAGAGCATTCCATTTCAAGTCTCCAGCGGTAAGTAGGGAAAATGTTATTAACATACCTGGGATGAATCTATTGTGCATTTAAAAAAACCCAACACTTTGAGGGACAGCCTGTCTTTTGTTCAGGTTAATACCATGTAATTTCACTTACATGTGGACCGCATATTTAAAGTCGCCCACATTGATGCGCCAGGACTGTCTATGTCAATCATATATATTTTTAAAACTGGTAAATGTTCAGAAATTCTTTCTTAATAGCATGTATCTGGGTATCAGATCTCACCGAGACTTTCTGGAGTATAGAGTATTTTTGCCAACCAAATTCTTACAATGATGTTTAACTCAGAATTCAGTTTTTCCACCTGGGAGTTACTGTTGACTTAATTTAATTCTGCTTTATTTGTGTGAAATATCCCCTTGTGGAAGAAACAGAACTGGCAATTTTTTAGATGTTTGGGCCACAAATCAGCCCTCTGATATGTGGAAGGGATGGCACTGAATTTTTTCAGTACAGGTAGTCCTCGTTTAGTAATTGCCTCATACAGCCACTGTTCGCAGTTACAGTGATGATAGAAAAGTAACTTTGCAACCAACCCTCACATTTATGTCCTTTGCAGGGCTGTAAAGCAAACGAAAGCTGAAGTGAGATCGTAAGCACAGTCGTTTCACTTAGCGACCGCTTCACTTAATAACTGAGTTGCTGGTCCCAATTGTGGTTGCTAAATGAGGGCTAATTGTATTGGATGTTAAGGGTGGGAATGGAGACCTCCAGGCAAATCACACTAGTTCTACCACCACCCCTCAGAAAACACAGAAATGGGCTACAACCCTCCTGCCATACCCACCTTTAAAGTCTCTTGATGACTTCCAGGACACTTCATGTCATTTTCTTACGAATCATCTTCTTCCAGGATGTTTTTATCTTTCTAGTCTAGCCTATAACCCAGGTGTTTCCTGGTGGTCTCCCGTCCAAATAGTAATCAGGCCCAGTCCTGCTTAGCTTCCAAGTCCAGACATGGCTGGTTATGTGCTGCCACCTGCTGAGACATTCCTACTCTTAAATCCCCTTAACAATGAAGTCAGAACATCTGGCAGACACAGGTTGCCTACTTCTGGTGTAGCTGCTTGCTCTAGTAGTAGCAAAACAAATTGGCTCAGACAGTATTGATTGAAGTAGGTGACTCTAGCCCAAAATCTCTAGCCATATCAAGACCTTCTTTGAATATGGGTTTCAACACGCTCCAGTGATGCTCTGAGCATCTGCAGAAGTATGCTCTCTGTCTCCTCTAGATGTTTGGGACTTGAGCACCTTTCATGACTAATGCTGGTACACTGTGGGAATTTTAAAGTCAGAACATCTGGCAGACACAGGTTGCCTACTGCTGTAGCTGCTTGCTCTAGTAGTAGCAAAACAATTTTGGCATACTAGGTAATGATGGGCAGAACTTTCTGAACAACTTGCTTAAAGCAGTCTTTTAAAACTGAGCAACTGTTCACATTCTTAAGGCTTTGTATAAATGGTGGCGCTCAGGGGCATTACGCAGCCTTTCCAACCTTGTCCTCACCACGTGTCTGGGACCTCAGTTCCAGAGTTCCCGGCCAGCAGAGCCAACGCGTCTGACAGGAGGCCAGGTTGGAGAAAGCTGTCCTACTGTGTGCTGCTTCTTGTCTGTTATTTTAGCAACTGTGCTCTTGTGCTTGTCTCTTCATGCTGCCGCCTGCTTGGAAGATGAGAACAAGGAAGCTGCTGTATCCCACAGAGAAGGTCTGGGTGGACAAGCATAAGTACGATGAGGCTGAGAGGCTTCACTATGAGCGAGAAGCAGCTTTAGCAGCCTCTGCTGTTGGGCCTTGCCAGGAACTGGTAGCAGTGAATGGATTCTGCCATGAGGAGCGTGCTGAGGAAGAGCTGAAAGAAGATCTGTGGAGGGTAGGAAGTGGGAAGAAACACAAGAAAAGGAAGTATTCTCCAAAAGCCAAGTCTTTGGACCCCAAAATAGATTTTGTCATGGCTGGGTTGTTAACTGACCATGTGTGGTTTGACAAGCCTCTGTTTGACCAAGCTGAATCTGCCTACCACATGAAGCTTGCCGACTCATTGCCCCAGGTGTCCTCCATGGTGCTTCCAGTTGTCGAACCAGCTGCTTTGGCACCTCGGTCAGAAGATGTCATCCAGGCAGATGTTGAGCTCTGCAGAAACTTGGCTGCCTTGCGCTGCACCCATGGAAGCCTGATGGCTTGTCATCACATCATTCAGGATGTTTGGGTCAACAAATTCAACTTTGATGATGCCGAGAAACTCTTTGTCGAAAGGTCCCAACTTGTGGCTCACTCACACTTGCTGCAGCCCCCGTCTGTACTGCAGCTGGGCAGCGCTGGACCAGTCACACCTGACGAGGGCTACGTGACTGCCCTGGCTACTCCCTCCACCCCAGCCCACACTGTGGATACTGAACACCATGCTAGTGCTTCTTTTGCCCCCCCAGAAGATTCAGACCAGACAGTGAATGGCAAACCTCCGGGGTCCAGTTTACGAGCCCTACTCTCAGAAGTGTGGCTGGAGAAACCCATCTACGATGATGCAGAGCGATGCTTCTATGCAAACATGTTCGATGGCCACCCTCCAGGGAAGGTGAGGTTGCAGGAGCGTGGCCGCCCAGACTCCTCAAAGAAGGGCCGAAAAGAGAAGAAGAGCCGTAGCAGCATAAGGAAGCAGCCACCTGGCAAGAGGGGGAACAATGCTAACCTTGTTGCTCTGATACCTCAGGAAGTGGCACCACCTCCTGCCTGGTGTTTTATGCACCCAGACACGGAATCTTTGTGGTTCAGCAAGCCCACGTACGACAGTGCAGAAGCCCAGTTCTACGCCTCCCAGGCCTCCCAACTTGCACAGGAAGAGGCCACCAGACTACCTGAAGCAACCCGAGCCAAGGCAACGCAGCCCGCTGCCCAGCCTTCAGGTGTACCAGAGCCCGATGCTAAGTAGGAAAAGCATTTGTTTGGGGCAGGGGGTGGAAATGTTCTCAGGCCCAACAGCATAGATATAAAGAATTGGCCTCAGCATGCAGAGGACAGAGGAGACTGGAGGCTAAAATGCTTCAGTTTGGCAAGGAGTATTACTGAAAAGTGGAAATGATTCCCATTGTTTCAGGAGAAGATATTCAGTTGCTCAAAAGTTTTAGGAGAAGATATTCAGTTGCTCTTGCCTCTGTTTCGGTCTACTTAACAGATTTGTACCAAGGGCGTCCTGATTAGCTAATGTGGGATGAAAGAGTATTTTGCTCAGGGAATGTAGATTTTAAAAGACCCACCTTAATGCTTTTCTGTATGCGGTGTGTCAGATGCCTGCCCTGCCTGCTCTCATTTGCCTAATTTGAGAAAGTGTGTCAGGTGTGTGCTTCACCTGAGTCTCATCCTCTCCAAAAACTTGGCCCTTGGCTGTGAAGTTTGTAGAACTGAATCTGAACTGCTTCTTAACAAGAGAGATGCCAGTGTCTGGAGATGTTTTGAAGGGTAAAATGGCCTGATCCTGGACTGAGTTTTAGGCGGTTATGAGTGGAATAAACCAGATTAGATGTCTCCGAAGTGAGCTACTTTTGACTGCGTTCATAGTGCTCTATACTGTATCCCCATCCCCATTTTAGTAAGTATCTCCAGTGCCAGCTGATGCTGTGTGACAGGTTCTGCCCATCCTCTCTTAAAATCCTTTGCCTTGTGATCTTGTTTTACTCTCCTTAGTCCAAGTGATCCATCTGTCCTACCCCTCCCCTTCCGAGTTCCCACCCTTGTAGAGAGCATTTAACTCCTTTGCTGCTGAATTCCACCAGCACCTCCAGCATTTTCTTACTGTGCTTTTTTTCTTTTTAATTGTGCTTCCCTTCTAGAGGGAGATTCAAGCTTGGGAGTATTTTGAGATTCCCAATTATCCCTGTGCTGCTAGGCAGCCGTGGACCAGATAAAAGCTTCCACCAAAACAGTTTGGGAACTGGCCTGTTGTCAGCAGTGAACCTTGCCCTGTTGCCTGCTTTGGTTCCATCAGTTGAAGGCTCTGTTAGCAGAGGCCTGTTCAGAGGCCACCAGTTTACTGAGAAGGGTTGGGATTCTGTTACGCCCATAATTCTGTATTGTTCAAGGATCAGGTGCTGCCAGTAGTGCTGGTGTTTCAGGGATCCTGTGGCAGCATTTCTAGGAAAGAGTAGGCAGTGTCAGGGCACAGCTGCTTCTATACCTCTCTTGGAAACACATGCTTGTAATTGGTAGTCAGGTTCTTGAGAGTATCAGTTTTCAAGTGTCAAATGGTTCGAGTAATTGCTTCTTTGATTCCATTTTTGTAAGCTTTTTCATCTAAGATCAGTGTTTCTCAACCTTGGCCACTTTAAGATGTGTGGACTTCAATTCCCCTTGCTGGCTGGGATATTCTGGGAATTGAAGTCCACACATCTTAAAGTGGCCAAGGTTGAGAAACACTGATCTAGAGTGGTGGGTTAGTGAGTTCTTACTGAATGCAGTCCTGAGGGAAGGAGGGATATGCCAGTGGAATGACTTGATCATTCGGCAACCTGATTCTAAAAACAGTATTTTCAAATATTTATTTAGTCTCCTCCGCTTTGCAGAAAAATGGCAACCAACTTCCTCATGCACGAGAAGATCTGGTTTGATAAGTTCAAATATGATGATGCTGAGAAACGGTACTATGAGCAGATGAACGGTCCAGCCTGCAGCTCTTCCTGCCAGCAGGTAAGATGCTAGTACCTTCCGTGTCTTGGGTGACCGGCCACCGACGGCCTCTCATTTTATCTGGTCCAGTGCAGTGGAGGTTCTGCCTGTAATTGTGAATTCTCTACTGGCTCACTCTGATCTATTCAAGCTGGTATTTTTCTTCTGCGTTGGGTGGCCAGATGTCTCCACAAAGCCCTGAAGACCATTTCTCTCCCCTCCCCTGCCAGTTTTTGCTCCCCTCTGACTGTTACTCAGTGAGAAGACCCACAGAGGTGTCTAAACTCCTTAAAACTTCTCCAAAGGAAGTTTTTGCCTTGGATGGCACAGCAGCCCTCCCCGCAGCTCTACTAAGGAAGACAGAAGCCCTGGGGAACACATAGTTTGGTGAGAGTGGTCCTTTGCCCCAACGCACCTGAGGGTACAAGTTGTGTGTCATATCTGCTTTGTCGTTGGCACTGTATCTTGATGCATAAAAAGTGTTTCTCTAACCATTTTGAGATCAATTCCATTTGCCATCCATTGCCACTCACTCTTCGAATCTGGTAGTGTCTGAACTTTCCAGTAATTTTCGGTGTTTGGCAAGAGAGGGCCGCCAGCAGGGAGAGTCACACAAACAGCCAAGGGTTGCGCTCCTTTGTGGTGGTGGCCTGATTCCTGAGTAACATTCAGATTAACGTAACATGTAACATTCAGTCAGAATGCTAAATCATGGTTTGCCACTATGTGAAACTTCCGCCAAGACAGCTCCACTACATTCTCCATTGTGTGCAAGGGAAGTAACTGGAATTTTTGAGCTACCGCTTGTTACAAACCATCGTTTCCTCTTTTGTAACTGGTTTGTACCAATTAGGATATCAAGATAGGATCTGATAGTGATTTGAGATCCTGGCTCACAGCCCTCTGATTGTGGTTATCAAGCAAGAGTGCTGTAGTTAGCAGGAAACTGTTAATCCCTAAAATAGTGCTAACACCAACACTTTCATCCTTCTCCCCTATATGAGAAATCCCTGCATTTTTCATCATTGCATTGTCTATCACTGTGGCTCTTGCCTACCCTTATTCTGAGACAAGCCAGTGTTCTGGTTTGAGATTAAATGAAACTGGCTTACTAAAATAAGCCCCCAGAAGGCCTTACTGTGGGGTCCCTGCAGAAGGAACAAGTTTGGGGCAGGAGTTCTTGTTCCTTCCCCCAGGAAGTCACTTGGCTTCTGAGAAGCGCTTTGGAACAATCTGATCCTCTGTTTAGAACTTTGCCACCCTCCCCCCCATGTGCAGGCAGCTGTTGTCGGTCTTCAGTGGTTCTCCAGGTTGTGTGCAGAAAACTGCAAAGTGTGTGTGAGCCAAAGTGCCTCCTTTCTGTAGAATAATGTAGATGGAAGGCCGGATTCAGTCACATCAAGAGCTCATTTTCCAGGTTTTATAAAGAGAGATCAGGAGGTGCCAAGCTTAGTTCCTGTCCCAACCCACCCATGATCATGAAAATAAACTGCAAGTTTTTGAGTATTTTCTTTTGGCCCAGTTGATAGAGATTGGATTGAAAGGACTGGAGCTAGAACAGATTTGTATAGCCCTTGCTTGCCATCAACAACCGCACTGAACCAACAGTGCACGTGGAACTCATCAGCACACGTTTGTTTCCTCCTTACCTGCAGTAGCGCTTCCCTGTGGAAGTCCCTCTGTCTGCACGTGCAGGACACTTGTTTCCTTGCAAGCTTAGAACATCGTAGGAGAGTCTCTCATTATGGACAGGGATGGGTTAGTCTCCAAATTAAAGATCTGACAAAACCCAAGAACATAAGAAACATGAGAGATACAGCAGTTGATGGTGTCCCATGTAAAGCAGCTAGCCAGGTAATGACATTTCTGCCAGCTGCTTCCTCAACTGCATTTTAAAAACTTGGAAATGTCTAGCTCAAAGCTTTGTCTGCGTAGTGGTCCCCAGTCTTGAAAGAGGCAGGAAATGAATAGGTGAAGGAGAACGATTATTGTGCGAGGAGGCAGTTCAGTGAACTTCATTGCCTAGAATTTCCAGATGCTTGGCAGTCTCCCCCACATCCACAGCCCACTCCCACTTCAGCTTTAATCCAAAAATTGCCTCTTTACTAAGGAATGTGAAGTAAATGAAATCTTTGTATGTTGTGGCCACCAAGTTAGAATAGTCTTCAGCTATAGAGCAGCCGCTGTGAAAATATGCTAATTTAGAAATAGCAGTTCCTGCCAGGAAGAATTAGATGGATGCTTTGAGGCTGTACCTTCAGAAAGGGATCAATAACAGGGGTTAACAATTCACAAACTCTGCCAGGAGAGGCCTTGAGGTGGTCCTTCAGAGTGTCCCTGAGTGTGACTGGGATATCAGTATTAATATTAGGCAGCAATATTATTTCTAGCTTTCCTGATGCTCCTTGTAATGGAACTAGGTTTGGGAGGATCCAAAGGTGTTCCGAAACCTCTGGCCCTGAGCTCTGGCTGGGCAGGCAGGAGGGGAAATAGAGGAAAGCAAATTAACAGGGCTATGCTGCCGTTCTGAAAATTAATTGCAAACTTACACTTATAACGTTTAGGTGCAAGAATAGCACATGATTCCAAGTGCAGTCCAGAAAATGAAACTGCCTTTGTACAAAGTCTGATGTTTATGAGAAACTTTGGAAGAGCTGAATGGGTGCTGACCCCAATTCAGGGGCTGGGAGTGTTGCTGGTGGTGGTGGGGCGGGGGGGGAGGTTAAATGATGCCATAGCCTATTCATGATCCTTGTCACTTCTAGAGTGCCTTTATCTCCTGGGCTTGTATGCTCACTACACAAGAGATGCTATCCAGACACATTAAAGCAGCCCCTTAGATATGGGACTTTGTTCAGGGCTCTGTAGATTGGAATTCTGTATTGCATTTGTATTTTGAAAAAGGGTTTTATTTTTTAAATGAATTTTATTCCTCACTTTAGGGCAGGGTTTTTTAACCTTAGCAACTTTAAGATGTGTGGACTTCAATTCCCAGAATTGGTTGCTGGGGAATTCTGGGGGTTGAAGTCCACGCATCTCAAAGTTGCTAAGGTTGAGAAACCCTGCTTTAGGGAAAAGGCGTGTGGCACCCTGTGTCCTTAGCTGATGGAAAAATCTGAATGAGAGTTGTTAGATTAGTCTGTTCTAACCTCATAGTTAACCTATTATAAGCCTTTTCTGCTTCTTTGTTCCAGTATGTTTGCCTCTCCACCACCCCCTCAGTCTTTCACTGTAATGTCCAGTCCTTGATTGGGGATGGGAGCGATAGGCCCTTTTTAAAGACTTTTAATATGCAAACATCGTTTGTTCAAATTTAGGAGCACAGAATTTAAGCCTCCTTCAGCTTGATGCACATTACTCATCTTGTGGTGCTTACCAGCAAATCCTGTGATAAATTACAGTTTGCTGTATTTCTCAGCTTCCTGAATGAACCTGCTGACTTGGGTTCAGGGCAGAGAACAACAGAATTTAAGCAGTTTGCAATGTATCTTGCATGTGCACCTTTTATGGAAAATAATTTCACTGACAGCAGCATGAGTGTGGCCTAAGAATGATTTTGCTGTGAATAGTTCTCCTCACCTGCCTAATGCAGAATTTTGTGGTTTGGGCCCAACCATAGAGGTACTCCAGGAAGCCATCTGGATATAGCAATGAACAGCTGAGCCGTTGCACTAGGCAGGTGAATTTTCACGCTCATCCCTTTTCACATGGCCAGCTGTTGTCCACCCTGAAAACAGTTCCTTTCCTTTCATGTGATCCACCCTTGGTAATTTCTCCTGTATCTGTATGTACCTCTTTTAAAAAACAAACAAGCAAAAGAAAACACCACTTGGTTCTTTCTGCACTGTTTGCAGGAGAACGGAGCCAGCACCATCCTGCGCGACATTGCCAGAGCCAGGGAGAATATCCAGAAGTCACTGGCCGGAGTGAGTACCTGAACGCTCTCTCACCAGCTGGCTAATTCATTTCTCCTAGCTGTGGCATATCTCTCAGATCCCCTCCCTCCCCCTGCTGCAATAAACTCTGAGTGTGTGGATTTTCCTGCCTTAAGTTAGAGGGCCTGGATCCGGTGAGGTGAACTCTGTCGTGCAAGGCATAACCCATTACAGAGGAGCATGTCTGAGGCTCAGCTTGCTCCAGCCAATGGCGCTTTTGCAGACTAACCCTAAACAACATTGCTGTCTCTTTGGAACTGGAATGTGCCATTCTTGATGTGTCTGACTACAGATTTTTCCGTAGCTGCTTCTCAGGAGAGGGAACAGGAATGGCCCCACCTTTATGCACTCCAGCTGTCTCGCAGAGGACTCTACATCCCTCTTCACTTTACTTCCGTAATGACGTTGGGACGTTGAGGCGAGGCTGGCCTGTAGTGGAGCTCGTACGCAGTACCATCCTTTGTGGTTCCCACAGAGATAGTCCCTTTGGATTCTAACTGTGATGTTAACATTTAAAGAGAACAAGAGCTTATTATTATTTTGTTTTTTTAATGGGGTGGAGACTCTAGTAATCCAGTTTTCTGGCTCCTTCCAGATGTGGTAGTATTGCAGTGGCATGGCTGACCAGCAGGTGCACTCCAGCACCTGTGGAGATGCCCAGTTGGACAAGGGTCAAGATGAAAGTCAGTACAAGATGTGAATCCTGTTGCTCTCTCATTCTCTTGCCCCAAATCAGGGAACTTTCTTTTCTGTTTAAAAGCCAAGCTGCATCTTTATTTGATTTGATGGTGCTAAGATCCTTTGTGTGGGAGAATTTGAGTCCATTTAGCATGGTTCCTGAGTTACGCTCTGGTGATGATTCTCCACCACCTGGCAGCTAGATGTGGGTGTGAAAGAGAAGACAAACCCACCAGCACACACAACACCTAGCTTTGCACAATCCCATCGCTGGCTGCCTTTATTTTGGGCTAGTCGGCGGTAGCCCTCCTGTTCAAAGATATATCAGTTTTTTGCAGATGTGTATTAAATATCCATATGTCTAAAAATAAAATGTTATGTTTAAAAATAAACATATGTTGCTCGGAGAACTGTCAGCTAAGATGGTTATATTTCATAGTGGATCTGATCTGCCTTAAATGGTTGAAGCGTGAAGGAGAGTGCAGAAAAGTGACTCTTAGTTTTCCCTCTTCTGTGTAAGCAGCTGCTTCTGAAACACTACTTGAAATTACGCATCAGCTGGATCCGGCGCTTACAACGTTTCCAGTCTTTGCCAAATCTGTCTCCCGTAACTTTTATTTTTTAAGGCTACCCAACTCCCAAAAGACTTTGGGTGGCTCACAATATGTGCAGTACGTAAGTTAAAGGCACAGCTAAAGCAACATGGCTGCCCAGACTAAAGCAGCATTCAAAAAAAGGCTCTGCAGGGGCCCCACGGACACCCTAACCCAGGCCTGGGAACAGAGCCCATCTTAAGGGACTCCAGGGAGATACTGTTCTAGAGGGCAGGGGCTGTGGCAGAAAAGGCACGCTTCCCCAGCCTCACAAGAAGACAGCATTTAATCGAAGGGCCTGGAGTGCACCCGCTCTGCCTGAACACAGCAGACAAGCAGAAACAGAAACTCATATTTAGGAGACAGGCCGTCCCTTGAATAGCTAGGCTCTATGCCATGAATTAAATAAAGAACTGGTCTGTGTCCGTTGCAGAGCATAAAATGGTGGTTTCTCTGCCCCCTCTCAGTTTTTAACCCTCTGAGAGTTGCAGGAGTCTCAGTTAACTCAAAGCTTTAGGGCAGGTGACGTTTTGGAGGCATTCCTTTGTGCCTTGCCTTGCCTATGGGATGGCAGCTTCACCGGAACTCTTAATGCAACCGGTGTGGATGAAGAGCGCAGATTTCTCCAGCCTGCTATATTTACTTGTGTGGGCAGCAGGAAAACTCCAAATACAAGATATGGAGTGTTCTCCTAAGACGTTTTTCACAATTGGTTGCTGGGTGGCACCTTGTATCAATAAGTCTGTTTCAAAGCAGAGGAGGGGGTGTGGCATGTGTGAAGGGGCACGTTGCTGGTGTTTGGAAAAGATGTGTATTCTCTTTGGTATCCTGAATTTCCCTCTGTTGTATTCCCGGTCTTTAGTAATTTGAGGGCAGGTGGTGGTGCCACCCCCTTCTCTGTTAAAAGCTCTAATTGTCCTTGAGGGCCATAGATTCTTGCTCCTAGTTTCATTATGGTGTTTTGAATGGAAAAGCTATAGCATATCAGGAGTTGTTACTTGAAAAGGGAGTAATGCAGGTCCCATGGGGACAATGTTATTGTGGAAATGACGTGAATTATTTAACTCCCATCGGTCATGTGGCACAACTACATAATTTATGTTGTCGCACAACGATGCATGATGCAAGAGATGTTGGTGTGGCTTCTGCCAGACGCCTGTGATGGGCACTCTAAATTTGCCTTAATGCTAGTTGTAATAAATATGAATGGCTTTTGACGGAGAGGCTCTGCGATAGCATACGCAAACTGACCGCATACACCAGCATTTCTCAACCTTAGCAACTTTAAGATGGGTGGACTTCAACTCCCAGAATTCCCCAG